GAAATGGCTCAGGGATTTAAAAACACTTGTTGGTCTTGCAGATCTTCTGGATTCAGTTCCCAGCAACCACATGATGGCTCAGAGCCATCAGTAACTCCAGTTCCAGAGGACCTGATACAAATACAGAATAATTTAAAAGAAAAAAATCTGAAGCTGGGCATGGTGGCACACACCTTTAATCCCAGCACTTGGAAGGCAGAGGCAAGCAGATCTCTGAGTTCGAGGCCAGCCTGGTTTACATAATGAGTTCCAGGACATCCTGGACTGTACAGAGAAAACCCTAGTTTATACAAAACGAATTTTAAAAGGAAGAAAGAAATCTGAAAATATGTGTTATTTCCCACTCATACTCCTGATTCCTCCTCTGCTAGATCTCCCAACTTTGTTGTAGAACGGACTTCTCCTGGTTTCATAGCGAAGCCCACAAGAGGGCAGTAGAAACCAGAGCATCAAGACTGCATGGCCTGGTTTCTAGCCGCTGCCCTGGTTCCACCCTGAGAACTCAATGAGACCACGCCCCCTCAGGCTGCGAGTCCTTGAGGGAAGAGTGTACTTAAGACTTTGCATCATGAATGCATGATGAGTCCTGGGACTTGGTAAATGACTGATCACAGAGATGAGTAATAAATGAAGGGGAGAAATCAACCTCGCAGTAAATGATTTACTGCTCAAGTCCTAGTAAGAGCTACAGCCATTTTGGGGGATGAGGCTCTTGGCACAGAAATTTCTTTAGGTCACTAGGTGGCAAAGCGGGGCCACCTGGATCCATTTAGCAGCTGTTGCCTTCTTCCTAAATATCAGATACCATTTGAACAGCAGTTCCAGAAGCCCCTAACTTTGTAAGCCTAAAAGTTAAATAGATTAATGGAAATGAAAGTATCAGGTCTCCGGAAGCTCTGTCATCTCCCATTCCAAGAGCATGTTCTAAATACTAAATGCTAAATGTTCTTTGCAGTGACCTCTTGTCCTGGTTAGTCTGACACTAAGCTGTCTGGGAAGAGGAACCTCAGATAGCCTGTAGGCGCTGCTGTGGTGCACTTTCTAGATTGATGATTGGTGTCGGAAGGCCTAGCTCACTGTGGATGGTGCTACCTCTGGGTGGTCCTGAGCTGTAGAACAAAGCAAGCTGAGGAAGCCCATGAGCGGCAAGCCAGCAAACAGCATTCCTCCATGGCCTCTGTTTCAAAATTTCTGCCTTGAGCTGATGACTGGAATGTAGAAGCCAAATTGTCCCTCTCCTCCCCAAACCAGAGTATTTTGTTGTTTGTTTTTAAGATTTATTTATTTATTTATTTATTTATTTATTTATGTATAGGAGTGTATGTACATGTACACCTGCATACCAGAACAGAGCGTCGGATCCTAGTGCAGATGTCTGTGAGCCACCATGTGGTTGCTGGAAATTGAACTCAGGACCTCTGGAGGGGCATAGAGTGCTTTTAACCAATGAGCTGTCTCTCTAGTTCCCAGCCAGAGTGTTTTCAAACTAAAGCCAGGCAATGGAGGTGCTTTTAATCACAGCACTCAGGAGGCAGAGGCAGGGGGATCTGTGGGTTAGAAGCCAGCCTGGTCTACAAAGTGAATTCTAGGACAGCCAGGGCTACACGAAGAAACCCTGTCTTGCAAAACAAGACAAAACAAAAACAAAAAGGAAGAAAAGAAAGCTAAAATACTCCTCTAAATCCCGCTTCCCCTTCATGTGTCCCACCTCTAGTTTACTTAGCTGGGTTTTTAAACAGGACTTAATCTTAGTCATTGGCTTAGGGGTCAAAAGAGAGTAGATGGCTCTAGAACACCACCTACACAGGCCATGTGTAGCCTTCCCCATACACCCTTGTCTTGCAGTTCCTTTCAAGCCATATGATCAAATACTGAGACTCTGCTAACTACTGCCCTCAACAAATCTACAATTGCTAGCAGGAAGGTTTGTATTTGAGCTGAGTGTGGTGGTATATACCTGTAATCCTAACACTCAGGGGCTGAGATGGGAAGAGCAGGAGTTTGAGGTCAACCTTGCCAGCATAGCAAGTTTGAGGCCAGCCTGGGCTACATGAGAGAAATTCTGTCTAAAAAAAAAAGGGGGGGTGCAGGCCAGTTGTGGTGGCCCACGCATTTAATCCCAGTATTCAGGAGGCAGACAGAGGAAAGCTGATTTTAGAGTTCGAGGCCAGCCTGGTCTACAGGGCAAGTTCCAGGACAGCCAAGGATACACAAAGAAGCCTTGTCTCAAAAACAAAACAAAAGACATGTTCAGGCAAAGTTGTGGGAGGAAAGAGTTTCATCTCTCAGACCATAAACAACCTTATAGCAGAAGAGACTCTCCTTTCAAGGACCTTGAACACAATCTCCAGCGTAAGAGAAGCCCTACCACCAAGTGGGCGTGCTTTTCTTGGAAAACCTTTGAAATGTATTTCAGGCATATACAGTCTCAGAGGCAACCAAGGGAAGGGGGCTGGAGGACAATGGGAGGAAGAAAATAATACACAATATACCCTGGAGTGGCTAATCTTGGTAGTCAACTCAACTAGATCTGGAATCAATGAAAACCTGAGCAGCTGGGCACACCTGTGAAGGATTTTTCTTGACTGGAGGTGGGAGACCCACCCTAAAACTGGGCTACACCTGGTGGCAGCTCCCAACACAGGCTGTGGGAGAAGGAAGGTCTTGCTCTTTGCTTGTCGCTCTTTATCTTGTCACTGAGGCATTCCTTTGCTGGCGTTAGAACCTGGTTCTTTGTGATTCCCAAAGAGACCAAAGACCTAGGAACCCTTCAGGACTCTAGCACTGGAGTGGGACCGCTGGGACATCCAGTCCTGTGGACTGAACAACCACTGAATTCTTAGCCTTTCTGTCAGGAGAGAGCCACGTAGCCTGTAAGCCTCTCGTGTGTGTGTGTGTGTGTGTGTGTGTGTGTGTGTGTGTGTGTGTGAGTTCATTCTATCAGTTCTGTTTCTTTAGAGAATCCTGACTAACACATACATGTATACACATATAACAGTGAAACCATTTCTTCGTATGGCCACTTTAAAAGTCATATAAAACAGGGAGTTCAAAGCACTGGCTGCTCTTCCAGAGGACCTGAGTTCAATTCCCAGCATTCATATGGTGGCTCACAATGTCTGTAACTCCAGTTCCAGGGTCTCTCACCCCGTTTTCTGGCTTATTTGAGTACCAAGCACACATATGATGCATAGACTTACATGCAGGCAAAACACTCATATGCATGAAATATAACTTTAAAATGTATTTTTAAAAAGAACAAAAGAGGGGACAAACATTTCCTCATTGCTATCAGAGAACCTTCCACCCAACAACAAGCTGTTAGGTACCCCATCAGCATTATAGCAGGCATTCAAGCACCTCAGATTTCCCTGCTCCCTAACCCCATCTTCTCAGGTTCTCACTGGGGTGGGCCCAGGAGATCTAATACAATAGCTCACATAAAAAGGCCTCACTGTGTGTATGTTTTCTGATCCAAGCTTTCTTTGGTTTTTTTTTTAAGATTTGTTTTTACTGTTTTAATTATGTGTGTAGTGGGGGAAGGGAGTATGTGCACGTGAATGCAGGTCAGAGACGTCGTCGGAGCTGGGGTTACAAGTAGTTAGTTGTAAGTTGCCTGATACGGGTACTGGGAATCAGACTCAGAGCTTTAGGAAAAGCAATCGGTGCCCTTAGCCACTGAGCCATCTCTCTAGCCCTGTGTTTGTTTGTATGTTTGTGACAGGGCCACAAGCTGTATCCACACTCACAGCACACATGTGGAGGCCAACGGGCAGCCTCGGGGGTTGTTCTCCTGCCACCATCCACTTTATCTTTTATTTTTGAAACAGGCTCTTTCATTGACTGGAACTCACCTACTAAGTTAGGCTGGCTTACCAGGAAACGCCAGAAATCCACCTGCCTCCACTCCCCCAGTGCTGGGGTTATAAGTGCACACCACCACACTTGGGGTTTTTAACATGTGAGCTCTGAACTCAGGTCCTCCAGCTTACAAAGCAAGCGATTCACTTTCTCCAGCCCCCTTTTCATGTATTTCCTGAGCAAGGACAGCTCTGTCCATGCCAGAGATGCTGAAGTATAATTCTGAAAGCACAGAAATAACTCCTCTAGAGCCAGGTGTAGCAGCAAGTGCCCATAATCCCCAGTACCTTCAAAGCCATCACTGAGGCAGGAGGATCATGGTAAATTTGAGGTCAGCCTGAGATACAGAGTGAGACTCTTTCTTAAAACAAAACAAAACCAACCTCTGAGGGTTCCAGTTCATAACTTACATGGTTCCGAGTCTTCCTGTTCCCTTGCCCTTTTTACCACTGCAAGTGAGGGCAGCTAGGAACAAGGGAATACAAACAACACTCAGCCTGGGCTTCTGTTGCCATGGTGATGTTGACACATGAAACACAGGAGAGCTCCTTTATACAGTGGAGTCAGCTGACTGCAGAGGCCAAAGACTGAGTCAAGAAGCCTGAAAAATGCACCAACACCGCACGCACGTGCACACACACACGCACACACGGCTCCTAAACACGCTACCATTTGGACCATCTTTCAGCCTCTTAGCCAGACATCAAATAGATGACTGGCTTGCTCCTAAAGTCCCCAAGAACAAAGTCCTCTACCTCCTCAGCCATCTGTCAGGTGTATACGTTCAATACTCATGGGCCTCTTGAGTTTTCAATGTCTGTCCATCTCTCTTGATATCCTTCCAGCCCAGTTTTTCTCACTATTGTTTCTATGGAAAGCAAAATAAATCACCACCTTATATTTGAGAAGGTCACAGAAGATAGGATGCTGAAGTATGGACCCGCTTGTTTTCATTATGCCATAACTAACTATGGCTTGCTCAGTACCCCCCAACTTTGTGGTTTGATCAGTGTCTGGAGTGGGAACGGTCCCTGGTATCCCATACCCCTGACCACCTCAAGGAGAAAAGGGTTCGAGCCAGGCACAGCAGTCATCCATGCACAGTGCTCCCCTCCTTTCAAATGAAAATCAGACAGAAGACAGGCAGGTCTGGATTTAATGAGGATCTTAAAGGCCCCGTGATGGGACAAGGTCCACACAGCTCGGAAGCCCACACTGATAACAACACTGCTCGCTCTCAGGACTCCAGACGACCCTGCAAAACACAAGTGGTTTCACTAGATTAGAACTGTGGCCTTTCCCACCTCACGTTGAGAAAAAAGAAAGAAAAAAAACCTCTCCAGCCTTCATAATGGTTTCAGGGATCATCCTGCCTGTCGGGGGAAGAGGCGATAAAACATGCTATGGCCTTCAGGGCTAATCTTGATGTACAAGGCTGTTGGAAGACTGTAGGAGGGGCTTTGCTCCAAGAGTCTGAGGACTCCTCGCCTCTAGGCTCAGGAAAGGACTTGGTACTGACTCTCCTGCCCCCGCCCCACCCCCAGGACACCTTCCATATCCATCTCCCAATCCACTTCACTAGCCAAAGACAAGGCTAGGCCTCCAGTCACAGCCTCTGTCCCCTAGACTGTCAGGAAGTGGCCTGCTTTTATCACATTGCTGTTTCTCCACTCGAAGTCTTTCACAGCCTGGACCCATAAACCGGTGTTGCTCTTCACAAGAGTGAGGCTAACACCCACCCAAGGCTGGATTCCTTCTGGCTTCTCCCAGCAGCGGAGCATTGTGGCTTTGCTAATTAGGTTCCTTTCTTCTCTTTAATTAGCTGCATGTGAATTCTGTTGGGAAGTCTTGGATCCGTGAAATAGTCTGGGACAAAAATCAGAACGAAATCATCATTACTAAAGGGGAAAACCGAGCGACAGCTTACACTGCTAAAATGTCAATGCTCTGTCCTAGCAGGGCTCACTGGTGGTCCCCACTTTACAATACAATCTTGGTGCCCATACTGTCCCTGGCAGCTCCCCCCATGAATGCCAGGAAACCATCCTAGGCAAGGCTTTCTGCTCTTGGCCCATTTGATGTTCCAGGAGTCACCAAGACCCCAGAGATTCTGAGTTTTCTGCCCTGGGTCCATCTTAGGACCTGGTCTCCACTCAGTTGCCATGCAGACCTTTTCTGAGATCACCCACTCCCAGGAGAGGCAGGCTCACAGCAGGCTCACGGCATTCCTCACAGGAGGAATGTGAGTCACAGTGCATCTGCTGTGGCAGCGAAGACCTGCTCAGAACACTGGGCTCCCAGGGTTAACTGCATCAAGACACCCGCCGCAGCTCCTCACTCTGTGTGGTTTGACCTGAAGCCATCTCTGCAGCCAAGTCCATTACAATCACCTGGGGAGCCTTCAAAACCTTGGCTGCTGGGCCCCACACTGGGCTAATTCAATAAAAATCTCTAGAGGTGGGGCCTGAGCACCAGTATTGTTTTAAAAGCTCCCCAGCTGGTTTTAGTGGGCAGCCTGGGTCAGAAATCACTTTGAGATCCCCACCCCCATAGACTAAGGACTGCCTGACTCTCCTTTGGGAATCTCAAAATTCTTAATCCTCACCAAGTCAGAAGTCCTGCCCTAGTGCCGCTCTGGCCTCATTTTGAGAAAAAAGACAAAAGAATGAAAAGGCCTTCCAAAAACAGCTCCTGTGAGGGACATCAGGTGAAAACAGAACCCAGACTTCACAGAAAGCCCCGGGGTTGTCCAACTCTAGATCCCCAATTCTGCTTCTTGTACTGACATGTGGGACGCCCCAATGCCACCATACTCACATGCAGCAAATTCAAGAATGTTGTCTGGTCTTTTCAGAAACATTTCTCTGTAAAACATTAAAAAAGGAGAAGGAGGAGAAGGAGGAGAAGGAGAAGGAGGGAGGAGATAAACGGGGGCCATGCGGCTACGGCCACTGCCCCATCTTACTCTTTGGGAAGCAGATTAATGACAGGCCTCCCCTTCTAGATCAGGAAGTCTTAGACAAACAAAGAAACAAACAAACATGAGGCAAGGAATAAAACAATGGAGTGGCTGGGCATGGTGACCATGCTTTTAATCTGGGCACTCAGGAGACACGGGCAGGTGGATCTCTGTACAGTCCAGGCCAGTCTGGTCTACACAGGGAGACCCTGTCTCAAAAGAACACAAACCAAACATCTAAACAGCAATACATAATAAATAAACCTAAGCCATATTCATTCCACAGAGGAGCTGTGGAGTGGGCAGGTAGGGCTTTGTCATCTGACACACTCACACACTCAGGACCAAGCAGATGTGAAGAGTATCTTCCAGGTCTTCAAGAGGTCCATGCTGAATGGACACAATGCAACCACATAATGGTCTGAGGAAGTTTATCCATGGATTCCCCAAGACCAAGGAGACAGTAAACAAGCTTAACATTTTTTTAAGGACTTGAGATGGGTTATTAGCTCTGCTACACAGCTGACAGACATGGAGGTAATGACAAAATCTCAATGCAACCAGGGTACTGGAAATGACTGACAGAACAGAAAGTTTCACAGTTCATAAGACATGCTTACTAATACTATCTCACTTTATGACATCCCTGTAAGTGATCATTGTATCCCTATTTTACTTATAAAGAAAATTCTTAATCCTCACCAAAAGAAGTCCTGCTCCGGTGCCACTCTGGCCTCATTTTGAGAAAAAGACAGGAAAATGAAAAGGCCTTCCAAAAAACATCTCCTGTGAGGGACATCACAGGAAACCTCAAGGTTAGTCATACGCCCAAGTTCATACAGACAGCAAAGAAAGGCAAGGCCCAGGTCTTGTGTCTCCAGTGCCAGAGGTCCCTATGGTGATTTCCTGGTCACAGGCTATCTGTCCTGGCTGACTTCTTCCTGAGAAAGCCCGCACTCAAGGCTTAATAATTTTGTTTCATTCCTCCTTTGGTTCAATTAGACAATTACTGAGTATAAATTACATGTAAGTAACTACAATATATGAGGAATGATTTTAAAGGAAGAGAAGAAGAGAAAAAGACAGGGGCTAGGGAGATGACTCAGTAGCAAAGAACACTTGCTGCCCAAGCATGAGAACCTGAATTTCCAGCATCCACATCAAAATCTAAGCCATGACCTGGTGCCAGTGACCCCAGCATGGAGATGATCAGAGGTACAGGGATCACTGGGGCTTGCCAGTGTCCAGCCTCAATCTAGATTCTGTGAATAAGGCATAGAGCATTCTGGCCTCCACATACTTGTCCATGGACACACATACGCATACATACACATATGCATATATACATACACACATACACATGTGCACACACATGAGTACACACACATACACATGCATATACACATACATACATATACACACATGCACATGCATGCACTCAAGCACACAATAAACATAACCCTGCCTCAATTAACTTATAGGCAAAAGAAAATGGGTGAGTTTCCCAAAAGGCTAAGGAACCTCAAGTAAGTGCTCAATTGCACCTTGGGAGGGAAGACTGGAAACTGAAAGCAGGACCCTAAAACCCTTCACAGAGTAATTGGATTGAAAGGGACCCTTGTGAGACAAATGAGATTTAACTAGCAAAAATAAAAGTTGAGAGACAAGAACACTCCAGGTCCAGGGAAATAAATAGCAAGACCAAACAAAGCCCAGAGATGGAAACAGTCCTGTGTCATGTGTGATTGACTGCTCTGTGTCCTGTGTGAGACTGCCTTGGGGTTAGCAGCTGGGTTGTATCTGCTGTTACATCCCCAGAGTCCAGGAGAGCACTCAGGGGTGTCTGCCTGGGCTCTGTGGGCTTAAGGAATAACTAGAAAGGCTGACTGGTTGGCATACAGACATGCGTAGTGGAGGAGACATGAAGTGCTTGCACTGGGATGGGTGGCAGAGCATGTGCTAAGCACAAGGCACCACGGTGCCTGGCACTGTGAAAAAGAAGGGGCAATAGCTTGTTTCTACATCTGGAGTGTGACCATGCATGGGAAAGTCTGTCCACTTACAGCTTGTCACTTGTCTCTATATTTCAACAGGTTGTTTGAAAACAAACAGAAAAGGCAACACTGAAGAGCCACTCGAGAGTCTTCCAGACAAGGGGTGATAGAGCTGTAGGAAGACTTGTCTGCCTAAGCTTTCAAGGATGCTGCAGCTCCAGCCCCGAGTCTGAGGTTTCTGGGTACCTAAAACAGGTTTGGTCCCTGAACTTCGAATTTCTAAGGTCCAGATTGAAGGTATTAAGTGCACTGTATTTCTGAGGGGTGGGGGCTAAAAGGCCACAAATCACAGAATCCAGAAACCCCAATCTGAAGATGCTCTTCCCAATGGGAACAGTTCACAGCTTCATCCGGCTTGCACATCAGGAGCGCACTCCAGGGACAGGCCTGAACAGGCAAGCTGCCTTCACTTAGCCCTTCCTTCTCCTTCCTCTTCACAGAGAGGCCAGGAGGGGTAGAACTGCAGGGCAGCAAAGCCACTGGGCTCAACTGCTTGGCCTTGGGTGGAGGAAAGGGAGGAAAAGGAAGGCTTTGGGGTCTGCAGGGATACTGCAGAGCTGGTCCCAGATGCCTCATCTCTTCCTGGAAACTTCCTAGACAAACAGACACAGGGCCACCCAGAATTCCACCCTCTCATTCACCACTCAGCATTCTAACCCCTTGTTTGTGAATGATGCCATCTAACACAGGGGTCTCAGTGGGTTGTTTGTTTGTTTGTTTGTTTGTTTGTTTTTTAATTTCTCTGCCAGAACAATACCCAGCTCAGACTGTAAGCTCCCAGGACTGGAGCCATGCTGTTTTTTATTTCCCTTTAGAATAAAAAATGCAAACATCATCCCCACATCTGACACCAGCAGATGACTCTGAAATATCTTTTTTTTTTTTTAAGACAGGTTCCCTGTATGTGGCCTTGGCTGGTCTGGATCTCACTATATAGACCAGATGGCACCTTGAACTCACAGAGATCTGCTTTCTCTGCCTTCTGGGATTAAAAGTGTGCCCCAGCCCAGCCAGCTTGGCACATAATATCATCTGGCCTGGCTAGACTGAATCTGCCCTTCACAGAGGCCAGGTTTCCACGTTCACTAACCCCTTCCAACCTACTGTGTGAATCCCTACTGTGTGAATCTGAAGCTCCTTGGAGAAAAGGCAAAAATATGAAGACTAGTAAGACCCAAGGAAAAGCAAAGGGCCTGGGAAACCCCTAGGACTTGGGCTTGAACCCAGGTCTTCACACAGCTCCGTGTGCGTCTGTCCATACAGCACTGTGTGGTGGAAATGACCAGGGGGCGGGATCCTTGGTCAGCAGCTTGAGGAATGTACTTCCCATCTGAGCTTAACTTGTCTCATTTGCAGAAATGGAAACACTAGGAGCTGTCTTCTGTCTTTCTAAGATTTATTTTTACTTGATGTGTATGAGTGTTTTGTTTGCATGTATGTAGATGTACTACATGCATCTCTGACACCTGAGGAAGCCAGAAGTTGTCAGAACCCCTAGAGCTGGAGCTACAGGCTGTTAGCCACCCTGTGAGTACTGGGAACTGAGCCAAGGTCCTATGTAAGAGCAGCAAGTGGGCTTAACTTCTGAGCCATCTCTCCAGCCCCCATAAAATGGCTTTTAAAAAACAATAATGGGCTGGGTATGTGACATACACCTTTAATCTAGCACTCAGGAGGCAGAGGTGGGCAGATCTCTGAGTTTGAGGCCAGCCTGGTCTACATAATGAGTTCCAGGACAGCCAGAGCTATATAATTAAACTCTGTCTCAGAATCATCATTACTTCTCTTTTATAGCATCACTGGGGAGGGGGCTTGTCAGCAAAATGTTACCAAGATGCCACCACAGTGTAAATACGTGGAGACACATATGGTACCACCAGCTTGGAACATTAGACCAGTAACATAGACCAAAGATTGGCATCACCATCACAATGCAGTTTGGTGACCACCGATGTGGGCAGACAAAATGGTACCTAGCAGTGGACACCAGCGCTCCTTTAACTGCACTAACTTGGCCGAAGTCAAACAGAATTCAAGCTCTTGTCTCTGTGTTGCTCCATGATTCCTCAGTTCTTTGCCTGTTACCCCATTAGGAGATTGAGACAAGATTTCACTATGTAGCCCTGGCTGGACCTCTCTATGTAGATCAAACTGGCCTTCAACTCACAGAAATCCACCTGTCTCTGGCCCCCATGTGCTGGAATTAAAGGCATGTGCCATATCCAGTCAGTGTCTTAGATCCAACGCCCTCAACACTTGGCCTCTCTGCATTCTCAGATTTTTCCATTTAGATGGAATATCCTGAAGAAACCTGTTCTGGACACCTGGGAAATTTAATTTTTTTGTTTATTGATCTTTGGCTTTTTGAGAGAAGGTTTTACTCTGTCATCAGCCTGGCATTGAATTCAAAATCCTCCTGCCTTTGACTCCCAAATTGTGGGACCATGAGATTGCCATCAAATGTGAAAAATAGTAATATTTTGCCTTGATATTTTTCTCTTTTTCTTTGGTTTTTAGAAATAGGGTCTCACTAATGCAGTCCAGGCTGGCCTTGAACTTGTGAGCCTCTTGTCTCAGCTCCCAAAGTGCTGAGCCCCTATACCTTGGCTCCTTGTCATTTTTCTACAGTGTTCTCAGGTAGGCAAAGGTGCACTATTGGAACCCTTCCTCCTGTGGGTGGGAGCAGTGTTTTACACTGATGCCTGCCTGCTGTCCCCCAATGCCACACTCCCTCTCCCGGTGACATGCAATGTATGTTTGTCTTTAGAGTTGAATCGAATGAACATTTGCATTTTAAAGAGTGCAGAGATAACTGAAGAAAATTCACAAGTGTCAGAGTTACAGAAGGTTGACCTTTAGGAATTCCCTGACTTTTAAGAGGTCAAAACCAAGATGCACTTGTGCGTTTGTGTAGTTCCAAACATCTGGGATGGTGCAGGTGAGAGAATCCTCACAAGTTTAAGGCTAGCCTATGCTACGTAATGAGTTTGAGTTCAAAGCCACCCTTGGCTATATGAGATGAGACCTTGTTTTTAAAAATCAATAAATAAATCAAAGGAAGAAGAAACAGGCTTACTGTTGTTTTTGTTTTGAGTCTAGGTCTCGCTGTGTAGCTCAGGCTGGCCTCAAACTGAAGGCTCTCCCTGAGTGTGGCAATTAGAGAGTGACTAAAGAAAGAGGCACATGTATTAATGCACTCATCTATTCCCAGTCAGATTTGGTAAAGTCCCAAAGCCAGCCTGTCCAACCACCTACCTGAAGAAGCTGCTAATGAGCAGCGACACCTCCTTGTGAGTTCTCAAGTACTTTTCATTTGCAATCCGCGTCTGGATCTGAGGGCCAACAACCAAGAGTCAAGATCTAGTGAGACAGATCCAGGATTCAACCCTTGAAGGCCCTGTGACGGTGTGTGGGGTGCGGGGGATGGGACATAAGCCAGGTCTTTCCCTGGAGTGCTTGAAAGCTATCTTTGGATTTTCTCTTGAGGTAACCTCATTTCTTTTCTCTTCAGGAAGAGATTCATATTGCCTGGGCTGGTCTGGAACTTGCTGAAGCTGGCCTTGAACTCCTGATCCTCTTTTCTCTACCTAAGGAGTGCTGGTTTTTGCGGGTGGGGATGGGGATGAGGGGGTGAAGGGGATAGGAACCCAGCAGTCTGTGCATGCCAGGCAAGCACTCCACCAACTAAGCTACACCCCCGGTCGTTTCTCTGGACAGACCCCCCATTTGGTTCGCCTTGCACTTTCAAATGCCTGGTGGGTTAGGTTCAGGGTCACTCCATCTAGTCCTCTGGCACTCAGCTAGGGGACAGGCCCCGCTCCCCTTTCCCGGGACCCTCCTCCTTGTCTGAGGGACTTCAGACTTGAGCTTAACTTTGATAGAAATGAGTTTTAGGCGAAGCCGACTCACGCACCTTGAAGTCTCTCAACTGCTCCAGCTGCTCCGGGCTCAGCGTTCCCGGATCTGCCTTCACTAGCCCTTTGCGTCCTGACTCCATCAAGCTGCACTCGGTTGTCTAGGCGACAAGCTGCCGAGTAACGAAGACCCGCCCCGCTGTCCGCCCCGCCCCTCTCTAAAACCAATCCCTTCCAGGCAGGGAAGGCAGAATCCCATCGAGGGAAGCAAGGCCACTCTGTAGCTAAATCAACTTGGATTTGGGGTCTTCAGGGGAGTAGTTTTCTCAGACTTAAAGACTGAGCTGAACTGTATATGAAATGAGCCTTTCTTCTTGATCTCACTCGACCTCAAATCGTGCATTTACTTAGCTAGAGGAAACCACAGAAGAAAATTCCTAGCGCAGGGTCCTCCAGAATCCAGCTCCCAACTTGGGCAGACGCTGTGCTTGCCGAAAGAAATCCAGGCTTCTTCTCTTCCCTCTGGCCCAGAAGCCAAGCATCCCATCTGTTCTGTAGACAGACACTAGATATTGAAGTCCTGGATTCCTAAAATATGAAAGCGCCCCAGAGCATGGTGGGAGCCACGCTCTGTCATTCTCAAACTCAGAATGCTGGACCGGGGCAGCACTCTGTGGCAGAATTTCCCTTCTTGGAATGACTTCCTCAGGTAGATTAATTTTCTCTTCACCTTAGGCTACTCATAAATTGTAAATTACCCCCTCTCTCCTCCCTCTCTCTCTCTCTCTCTCTCTCTCTCTCTCTCTCTCTCTCTCTCAGCTGAATATAAACTAACTGGCTGCAAGATTTGTTCTAGTATCTAATTTAGAAGGGTAAGTGAAACATACAACCACGGTTCTCAAAATAGTTGCCTGGAAAGGGTAGGAGCCTGTCTGTCAACATGCGCGTGTGTGTGTGTGCACACGAACACACACACACAAGCTTTCCCTGTTCGGAGAGATGGTGCCCAGCAGAAATCTTCAGAGAGGCAGGAGACAGAATCCCAAAAGAGTTTGGGATTCATGAACACTCCCCTCCCTCAACCCTGCCCCATGCCCAAGCCAAGACACAGCAGGAGAAAAAAAGCTAAATGTTAGGCCTCTGCCAGAGCAGCAGAAACACTGTTAACAATCCCAAGCCCGGACGCAGGTGAATCAGGCTGTGACTATAAGCCTCTTCCTAGGGTCCATCTGGGTTAGCAATCGTTTGGGTTTGGGTTGTTTATCTTTTTTTTTTTTTTTTTGAGATTGAGTTAATAGTGAGGGAGATAAGCTGCCATCTGTCAGAACCACTGTTTTCCCAGCTTGTGCAGAGGTTACCCAAGGGTGATAGTTTCTATTGGAGGGAGAGGCTAAGATAAAATGCATAGACTTGAAGCTAGTGTGTCTGGCACAGTCTCTCAGTTCCTGAATGTTTGAAATGTGGCTGTGTTCGATATGCCAGACATTTAGCATACACTCTGGATCCTGAAAACTTAATGGAAGAAAATAATGCAAACCGGCTCAATAACTTTATATGCATATTCAAATATTTTATATTGCATGTTCAAATTGTGTTTTGAAAATAGGTTAAACAGAATCTTTGTGTGCATGCATGTGCGTATGTTATGCACATGTGCATGTGTGTGTTGTACATGTCTGTGTGTTGTGCACATCGAAACAAGAGGTCCTTGTCCCATGTTAGTCACGCACCATTTTACTTTACCCTGAACCTAGGGCTCAGTGACTGACCAGGAAGGCCTGGAGGTGAAGAAATCGCCACCCCAGAGGGAAGCATGGACTCAAGACAGCACCCAACATTTTACATGAGTGCTAAGGATTTGAACTCAGGTCTTCTTGTTTGTGTAGCAAGCACTTTACCTCTGAGCCATCTCCCTAGCCCTTTAAAATGATTTGTAAACAAAACAAAATCTCGCTGTAGCCCTGGCTGGCCTGGAGCTCACTGCATAGACCAGGCTGGTCACAAACTCACAAGAGATTTGCCTATGTCTGCTCCCTACGTGCGGGGATTAAAAGTGTGTACCATCACTCCTAGCTCCATACAATTGTTTTTAAAAGTAATTTCACAAGCTAGACACAGATAGATAGTGGGTCATATCTGTAACCTCAAGTACTTGCAAAGCGGAGGCTGGAAGGTCAGGAATTCATCTTGGGCTACATAGTGAGTTCCAGGCCAGGTTGGGATGCAAGAGACCCTATCCTAAATAAACAAATATATAATTCTTAAAAAGTCAGTAAACAAGCACACACCTTTAGTCCTAGCACTCCTGAGGCAGAGACAAAGAGGGTCTTTGTGAGTTTGAAGCCAGCATTGTGTATGTATCAAGTTCCAGGACAGACAGGGCTACATAGTGAGATCCTGTCTCAACAAACAAACAAACAAAACAACAGTAAACAAGCCAGCAAAACGCTACATAAGCCCAAAGACCCAAATTTGATCTTCAGAACCACATAAAGGTGGAAGGAATTAGAGGATCCACGCCTGAGAGTTGCTCTTTGACCTTCACACACACACACACACGCACACACACACATGCAATATAAATCAATAAATGTAATTTTAAAGGAGGAAAAATATGACTCTGTAAAGTTGTGTTCTACCTCTACATGCGAGCCATGGCACACTCACCCCACACACAACAAAATAATAATAGTGGTGATGGTGGTGGTGGTGGTGGTGGTGGTGGTGGCCATGTAAAATCAGTAACCTTTTGGGGAATTGTTGTCTATGTAGCTCTGGCTGTGGTGGAACTTGCTATGTAGAACAGGCTGTCCTGGAACTCACAGAGATTGCCTGCCTCTGCCTCCCAAGAGTTGGGATTAAAGGGATGTCCACTATTCTTATCCTCAATTTTAAAGAGATTTACTTATTTTTGTATGTATAGGTGTTTTGCCTGCATATATATTTGGGCACCATGTACATGCATTGCTGCAGAGGCCAAAAGAGAGCATAAGATCTGGGATTGGAGTTACATGTGATTGATTGTTAGTCCTGAAATAGGTGCTGGGAATTGAACCTGGGTCCTCTGAAAGAGCAGCCAGTGGTCTTAACTGCTGAGCCATCTCTAAAAATCAGTAATTTTTTTTAATACATAGCAACTTAGCTTTGGCTGAAGAGAGATAGGAAAGAGTGAGCTTGTGGATGGTGTGCAGAGAAAATCTCCTGAGGGAATTAAGGCCTGAAGCCTCATTTCCTCAGAGAGAAGCTCCCGAGGATGGGTGCCTGAGTCACAGGGCCCCTTAATCTTTACATCACAGGGCTTCTGTCACTCAGACTGACAGACCTTCAGAGATGTGCCCATAGCCACGCAGCCAGGAGAGTCTCCTGAGCACCCTCTCGCCTCTTTGAGACTGGCAGTACTAATACAGACTGGGCACTAGGCAAAGGATTGAAAGTTCTTTGCTGGCTCCAGCTCTCTCCCAGTTGCTGCCTGAGAAGAGGAACAAGAGGGGTTCGTGGGAATTCACTTTTGTGAATGTTTAATATTTCAATTAATATGATTAGGCTCAAGCCTGAATGAGCAGCAGGGCGGCAGATCTGCTGAGAAGACACAGGGTAACTAGATCAGTGGGCCCCTCCGTGGGGTCTCCCACAGTCACAGGGCATGATCTGTTTAATGTCTCCATAAATGTCAACATCAGATTAGAAGGCAAGAAAGGAGAAGTGGGGGTGGGGCAGGTGAATGGAAAGTTACTGTGGAGACTCATAGCTTTCTACTTCCTGGTTCCCTGGCACTCCCAGGGCATCTCTAGGCTGCCTGTCGTGCAATCTCCTGTTACCTCACCCTCTCAACCCATTTTAAGGTATCCTATTGGGAGGACCTGGGCATCTGCATGATGAAGTGTAATCAAGTCTCTGCACATACAATCACTTTATTCACACATATATTTATATATACCTGACAGAATGTAGCTTCAGGCCACAGAAACCCAGACTGAAGAAGGTGGAAGCAGTCACTAGGAACAGGGCAATAGGAAGAAACATGAAGTCTTACCCAGTGCCTCAGTGAGCACAGAGGGACAGAAAGGCCAGGTTCACGTCAGGTCATTCCCACAAGGAATGCTAGGTGTGGGTGTTCAGCGCCTGACCTCAGGACCCACCCTGCCCAGGCTGGAACCTCAGCTGGTGGTGTTTCTAGCTGTGTGATCTTGGCAAGTTATTTAATCAGTCTGTGTCTTAGTTTCTTCATCCATATCATGTTGGGTGGTCTAACACATTTGGAACAATCCCTAGGACATGGCACTGTTACTTCAGTTCCAGAGGAGGAACCTGCTTGCTGTGATAACTCAGGAATGGAGGCCTCCAGGATGCCTCTGGGAGTCTCAGAGACATCTGCACCACTCTAGACACAGAAGGGGACAGAAGGGGAAGCAGGGTGTTCTACAGAAGCTGCCAGTGGAGCATGGATGGATGGTGAGCCAGATTGCTACCACAGAGAGCTGATACCAACAGAAACACGGGGCATGTGTGGGGCTGGAGCACAGAGGGCAATCTTCCTCTAGATCATGGAGCATATGACCAGATTTAAAAGTATAACTGTTTGGGGAAAAATAGTTTCTAATGTATTTTTTGCCTCTTTTCATCTGACTCTTAATTCCAACCAAGGAACCCAACCAAAGGAAGCAAAGGAAGGAAAAATGGGGTACTGTGCCCTCAAGGGGGAGCCTAGCAGCGGTGCCTTTCCCCACAGAAGGAATCGAGATTTCTCACTTGTCACAGGGTCTTTGCATGAAGCGTTTGTTAAGCACCTGCTATGTACGAGCAAGACACCACGACTTCGAGCAGTCGGACACTGAGTCTTGGTCTTCAAGGCTAGTACAAGTGAGAGCTGCCACCAGCTGCTGCCTCCTGCTCAAGCACTTATACACACAACACCCCCAGAGAGAAGGAAGGGGGTGTCTGAAAATGCCAGACTGCTATAGCTTCCCTTGTTTCTTTCTCTGAAAAAGTATGCAGACTCTCGCTGCACTCATTTCCACTGGCTCTCTCCTTCCCCACACCCGTTCGAATTTTTTCCTCTCTGCTTCTTCACTTTTGCTCTTTCCCCCCAGCCCCTGTGACCACTTCCTCACTCATCTACACCTCCCTCCCTGCCCCTCAACCTGCCTGACTGCTCTTTCCCGTTTCTCTTCCTTGTTTCCTTCCTTGGGTTCTTACTTTCAGACTCCCCAAAGGCCAGGCTGCCCTCTCCTCCCCACCCCCCAGCTTCCACCTCCCGGGTCTGCTTTTCCTCTTCCAGCACCGGGGACAGCTCCAACCCCCGGAACAATGGACCCTACCCTAGGGCTCCTCTATAAATTCTCCATCTTAGTGTCTTGCCCAACTCCTGATTCGGGAGTAAGATGGGGGAAGGGTTGTTATCAAGACCAGCTGCTCTTCTGGGGCTGAAAGGGAGTCAGGGAGGATAGAGATAGAAAGAGGGCGTGGCTCTTGCCCGGGTTGTGCGTCTCTCTCCAGGGTAGAGAATTTGTATTCCACCCCTGAGACTGACATCACTGATGTCAGGGGAAAGGAGGTGGGAGTGGGGAGGGGGGTGTGGAGGGGGGAGGTTTTTGTTGAGGAGAGCGCGGCCGGAGAGCAGAGCTCCGGGACCCAGGTGACCGGGAAAGCAGGCAGCCCTAGTGTAGCCGGCAGTAGCCCAAGCCAGGGAACCATACAGGGTTGGGGTGGGAGGGGGTCGGGGGCGAACCTAAAGGGGGCAGGGCAGAAGGGACCCCCGGAGCCCTGCCGCCATCAGAGATCAAGCATTTGGCATCAGGGATCTTCGGACCCAGCAGAAGGATCAGCCACAAGGAAGGTGTCCTCCCTAGGAAGTCAAACGAGAGAGTCACCTGCCCCACATCAGGAGCAGGGACCCCCCCATGACGCTGCTGGCAACCATAGCAGGCCCCTAGCCCCTCAGCCTCCTTCCTATCACCCACTTCTGACTCTTACCCTATCTCCTTTGGCATTCGTGCCTTTGCTCCCGCCCTTTGAGCTCCAGCCCTCCAGCTACCACCCAAACGCCCCAGGGCTTGGCCGCCCTGACCCTCATCCTGGGCTGTTTGCCAGATCTCTAGGAGGGAGATCCTTTGCTTGGGCTATGCCTCCTGGTGGCCTGACAGTATCTGCCTAGACTCCTGACCCCTAGCCCTCAACTCCCCAGGCCTCCTTTGTGTGAAGAGCCCTCCTCTGCTCAGCAGTGTGGTTGGGGGCCAAAGGGAAAGCCGGCCCTGCTGGGCCCCTGGGCCCTACCACCTGCCTCCTGGTTGGGCAGCTTTCCTTGTCTTTGGGCCTCTCCCTGCTCCCCCGGCCCCTCCTCCTGGGCCGCCCCAATGAAGGAGCCAGATGCCATCAAGCTGTTTGTGGGGCAGATCCCGAGGCATCTGGAGGAAAAGGACCTGAAGCCCATCTTCGAGCAGTTTGGTCGGATCTTCGAGCTGACTGTCATCAAGGACAAGTACACCGGGCTGCACAAGGGTGAGGGGTCAGGCCAGGCCGGAGGGGAGGCATTGAGTGGCCTGGGAGGCAAGAAGGATGGAGGAAGCTGGAGGGATGGAGTGTCTGGAAAGGGCTGGTTTGGGAGGAGAGTTCAGGTGCTAGGGGACTGGATAAAGGAACTAAATGAGAATTCAGCTGTGTGACAGGGACCACAGGGTCAAAAACTAAGGGGAACTCGGCATAAGAGCTGGAGGAGGGTGTTGGTGGCATGGGATGAGCCAAAGGGTTAGAAGGACAAGTTTTAGGAGAGAGAGGATCAAGATGGACAATGTGAGAAGTCCCAGATAATGTTGGGATGACTGGTCAGGTGTGTTTAACCTAGAAAGAGTGGCTGCAGTCAAGCCAGGGCAACCCAGGACTAAGGTGAAGGAGTGGAGGACAGCGGCATGGAGAAGAGAGACCAGACAAGGTTTATTGGACTTAGAAAGTTATTAGGAAGAGGTTCCTGAGTCTCTCCAAGCGCTGTGCTGCTAAGCAGGACGGGCCTGGAATCAGCACTTGGAGAGCTCCAAGCTCTGGGGATTCAGGGCCATACTATCTCCCTGAAATCTTTTCGCCTAGGAAAAAGCACTTCCGGCTGTCGCTCCCCCTCTGCCTTCTCCATGCACTCTCCACACCTGTCACTGGTGGAGTCTGGGAGATTCGAGAAGTAGGGAAAATGGAAGAGAGGGTGATGATGGTCAAGACGGAAGGAGGAGAAGGGGAAAGAGAAGAGGAAGGGGGGGAGAGAGGGGGGGGAGGGAGAGGGAGAGGGAGAGGGAGAGAGAGAAAGAGAGAGAAAGAGAGAGACAGAGAGAGACAGAGAGAGACAGAGAGACAGAGAGGGAGAGAGCACAGGATTGCCCTACCTGTCTGGAGATCACAGCTCTTCCTGCTCTCCAGTCCCATATCTCAACAGATCCAATGCTCTTCCATGTCCCTCACCTCCAGGTCCCTCACCCAGAGATAGGATATAATTTTATCCCTCTGGATAAATGCCTCCTCCCTCCCCAGCCCAGCAGGCAGAGACGTCCAGAAGGAGAAAATCCCCCCTCCAGGTCCTTGGTCTGCCAGGGAAGCCCCTTTGGAAGGGAAACCTAAGGACTCACCTGACACTGTCTCTCTGCCTGTGTGTCCTCAGGATGTGCTTTCCTGACGTACTGTGCTCGCGATTCAGCCCTGAAGGCCCAGAGCGCCCTGCACGAACAGAAGACTCTCCCAGGGGTGAGTTCTGTGCTCTGCAGGGTCAGGGGGCTGAGAGAAGCCTTAGGAGTGGCTCCCAGGACACTGAGCCATTTTCCACCTCTTCATCACCAGAAAGTCCCTGTAGCATCCCTTTCCCTCTGTAGATGTGTGAAACAAGAATGACTTGTAGAGTGACTATGACCTTCTCTGAGGAGCACCTGCAGCTCCTCCCCCACACCATGCAAGAGGGAGGACTTAGCTGTATGGGAGGAAGGAAGAGTAGACTGGACACCTGTGTCAGAGGGAGCAAGAGGCACCCAGGCACTCTTTTGTGGTGCTGGCTAAGGCAAGCTGGGTGGCTGTGAGATGGGGGAGGGGCGCTGCTGCCCTGAGAACAGGCAGCTGGGCCTGCTGGACTGTTCTGTGCTGCTTTCTGAGATCATACAGGCTCCCCCACCTGTCTCCCAGGAAGCACTCCAAAACAGAGCCACAGGGCATCAGAGTAGTGAAGGCTGGAGTGGACATGTCTTTGGGGACAGCAAACAAGGGCTGGCACCATCATGGAAGATCAGGCTTGACCCTACCAAGTGTGCCTGGGGAAGTCAGGAAAGCGAAGGTGGCTCTGAGGTAGCTTCCCTGGTGCAAAGTGATAATTTTTTTTTTTTAACAAGTCTGGGTTGGTAGCTGAGAAGCCTCCTGGTCCTTTTGGATCTATCTGCTTCTGTTTTCTCTCGGATTGAGTCTCAGGAAGCCCTTCCTGAAGCTTCAGTGCCCATGGTGAATCTTTGCCCAGCACTGTCCAGGGGCTGCAGACATCTGTCCTAGCCTCTACTTGTTCCACACATGGGACAGGGAATGGCACTGACCATCCATCCTCCCGAGAGGAAACAGACAAAACAGATGGGCTGGGGCTATAGGAACTAGAACTACTTATACTGCCCCAACTTCGGACTCTCTTGAGGTCCCCCTGCAGTCATCCCCAAACATCTTATCTCAACCAACAGGAACAGCCATTGCCCAGAGTGGAGGGCAGGGGGCATGGGTGTGAACTGGCACAGGGGTGTAGAGTAAGCATGCACTCGCTCATGCACACATGCGTGTGAGCGCCTGACGGGCTTTCCCTTCCTTTTCTTTCTAGAAGGCCCTCACACATCAGGTTTTTAACCTCTACTGCTGTGGGTTTCCTGTTCCTCATTTCAGAACCCCTACAGGGAGAATCAGGGGAAGGGGTCCAAAAGAGGACAGAGTAGGGGTCAGTGTGGGGGTGGGCAGGAGCCCCAAAAGCACAGCACCAGCTAGGCATATCTCCCCTGCATCTGGCTCCTCCAGCTGCCTGTGGGGCTCAGGTAAAACTCTGTCCCGAGAAGACAGTGGGATGTGCATAGGAGTCAGGAAAGGCTCCCTGGTAAGAAAGTCTCTGTCACTCTGCTCCAGACTTCCCAAGTGACACTAAGTTCCCACAATGGCCTTTGCCACAGTGGTCAGAATCCAGAGAGACCAATGAAGTTTCTATCAGGAAAGAAGGGTTTCCGTTCTTCTAGGGGGGAATCCCACACTAGGGGCTGAGAAAGCTGACTCAAGTAGGCTGAGGGAAGAGGTACTCATAACCAAATTTTGCCTTTGTACCCTACCAACTGGCCCCTCAGTTGTGTGTGTGGGGTGTCTGTGTGTGTATAGGGTGTCAGCCAATGCACAGTTCTGTCAGTAAGTTTTTGCTACTGTCTAATCTCCAAACCCTCCTTCGAGGTCTATTTTAACACGTGCAGTTTTAGCCTGCTTGTGTTGCTGCCCTTTTTATCACCCAGAATTAGTGGCCTGTGGCTGTTGAGCCCCACTCCTCTCCAATGAGAAACCCCAGGATGGCTCTGACCCAGGTCCCTGGATCCATTCTGAGTAGGGTGTGGCCTCTTGGAAGTTGGTTGTGAGGGATGCCTCTGCCAGGCTTATCTTCCCCATCTGTTCTGGATCAAACTCCCACTCTGAAGATGTGGGTTTTCCCACCATCTTGATGCAGGGATCGTGGTCTCTGGGACACCAGGATCAACTCTGGAGCCAGGAAGGGCAGGGCTCCAGACCTGCACCCTCAAGTTTCCGTGAGAGAGCGAGCTCCTTTTGGAGGTGGATGTACCTGAACAGTGGTCCTGTTAGGGAAAGCAGATCAGAGACCCCTGCTGGAGTATAAAAAGCCCCTTCTCCTTTGGGCAGCCCTTGGGAGGGCTTATCACCTCGTGGGTGGAAGCTAGGAGAGGCGCCAGCCTGGTTGCCAGGTAAACACAGCACAGCTGGACTCAGGGGAGGGGGCAGGTGTGCCCCAGTGAGCTAACAAAGCTGAGCTTCCCACAGGAAGTGCCAGGCCAGGGAGGGAGGACTGAAAATGGGCATGAGGAGCACTGCGACGTCCCCTGTGAGAGTGACGGTGGGGGTGGGGGAGTTCTGTGCACGAGATCCATAATGTGCTCGGTGCTGTTCTCTGTGCGAATGCACGTCAGCTGTGGGTATTTATTGATATGCTATTTTTGTGCAGGGCGGGTATCACATCATTTTTCTCCCAAGTTCTCAGGGCAAAGTGCCAATCTAAGATTGCCCCACGCTGTGGTCCTGGTTCTGACTCTCCATCTTGAGGGGGCTGTTGTGGTGCCTGGGAGGGAATTTCCTGTTTTGGGTACAGTACAGAAGAGGTGAATGGCTATAAGTTTCTAGCCCACAGACCTTCCTTGGTGCACGCGCATGTGTGCACACACACACACACACACACGCACATGCGCACACACGTGCGCACACACACTCTTTAGGAGATTGAATTTCAGATAGGATAATCCCAGATTGGTGGATGGTAAAGCTGGGGGCAGATTGGCAGGAGGATTTATGTGACTGTGACCCTCCCACCCCCCACCAGATGCTCTCAGATCCAGAGATTTGTTGGGGAGGGAAGGCTGGGGCAGAAATATCATTGGAGATGCGTCTCAGATTTGATCCAAGGCTGTGAACACCTGGCTGGCAGAGTCCAGCCGGGAGCACATTTCTGTATTTCTCCATGTTAACTGATGTCACTCGAGGTCTCCAAATTCGACAGCACTAGAGTTGAACAGCATCTGACTGCAGACTTCCTGGTCTAAGCTCTTGTTTAAGAAGAGGAAGTTGGAGTATGGAGAGGCACAGCCAGTGAGGGCAGGGCTCCGGACCTAGGTCTCCTCTCAGTAACATGACTTTCCTTAGAGAACTCTAAGCTAAGCCTCACTCTTAGCATGTAAATGAATGCCTCCTTTATGTTTTTGGTCTCTGAAATTAAGACTGTCCCATCATCACATGAGTGAGGGGATTGAGTCTCGATAGCAAGAGAAGTTCAGAGGAGGCACACTGCATGCTTCTTTCCAGTTACTACTTTGCTTGCCCTCTTGGTTAAGGAGATTAACCTGTGGAGTATTTCCCAAGTCCACTCACCAAACAAGACACAGAGAATAGAACTAGAAAATTTTCTGCCCACGCTGAAGACTGGACAAAGGGTGATACTGTGGGTGTCAGGGAGGATTGCAAAGGAGCACAGATAGCCTCCACTCCTTCGGCGCTTCTTTAGCGCTTTCTCAGCTCTTCAGATAGCAAGGATTGGTTGTGGAGGCAAGAAACAGGAGACCAAAACAGTATGGTCCCTGCAGGACTCACTCCATATAACTCTCTCCAGGACCAGGAAGCTTTCTTGGGCCCCTCCCCCACCTCCCAGCCCCCACCCAATACTCTACCCCCAGCAAACCCTGTTCCTACCCCCCTCCAGTCCTTCTCTGCTGTGTGTGGAGAAGCAGGAGTGATGACGTCACCATGGTCGCCAGGGCGACGGGGACGGATAAATCAGGCTGAGTGGGCGGTTGCCATGGTGCGCATTCTCCCGTTGCCACGGAGACTGGGCATCTGCTCCCTTTGTGCTGCCCGAGTGCCTTCCCCCTGGGGTCAAGGGGTGTAGGGGAGCAGAAAGAGAGGCAGACACACCTCCAGTGGTCAGAAGGAATTCTAGACCTCTGTGGAGTCTCCCTCAGCCTTCCTTGGGGGTTCTCCATGCGATAGCCTCTGTTTGGTCCTACTTTGCAGAATGGAGGCAGCTCTGGTTGATAAGTTCCTTGGTTGAGCTCTGACTTAAGACCTGGGTCCTAAGAGCAGGCCTTCCTCACCTAAGAGACCAACACCTATGGGTGACCTGAGCCCAGAGCTGCACCCCATGAAATCTTCCAACACATCCCCTCCCCCCAATATCTCTAATTCCTTCAGGTTTGAATTCTAGACAAGATTGGCCCTACCCTTTCCTTCCCAACAACTTAGAGGCTGAGGCAACTTGGCTCCCTTCAGTGTGGGGAGGGCTCCCGAACGCTCCAAGGAGGCCCTGGCAGCTTCCTTCTTTTCTCTCCTATAGATGAACAGGCCGATCCAGGTCAAGCCAGCCGACAGCGAGAGTCGAGGAGGTAGGTTCTATAACTTTGGATTTAGCCCCTTTTCTCCTACCCCCAGGCCCAGGGCTTGATGGAGCTGAAGGACAGCCTTTCTTGAGGACGGAAGTCTGACAATGCTAAAGAATTATCTGCTAAGGTTGGGTTAAGGAGTAGGTGGTAGGAGTGACGGTAGGACGAGATCTGGCCCATTTGTAGAGATTACAAAACGGAGGCCAAGTAGAGTTCAAATCCTTCAGAGCTGAGTACTGCATGTTCCTGAACTCTAATTCCCAGCCATCAGTTCATTACACCCTAGTGCCACTGTTCCCCAGGATGGGGGGCAGGGGGTAGTGTCAGGAGCAACAGGTATACATGAAGGTGGAGGGCTGGGAAAGTGGCCAGGAGACCCTGTACATTCCTCCCCTCCTATGCCCCACCCCCCAGAAGACCGGAAGCTCTTTGTGGGGATGCTAGGAAAGCAGCAGACAGATGAGGATGTCCGGAAGATGTTTGAGCCATTTGGGACTATAGACGAGTGCACTGTGCTCCGGGGGCCAGACGGTACCAGCAAAGGTAGCCCTGTCTTATCCCTTCTCCACAGGACCCAGTAGGGCGCCTTCATGATAGGCACTCACCCCTCCTCTCCTCCACCCCATCCACTTACTCTAGGCTGTGCCTTTGTGAAGTTCCAGACTCACGCTGAGGCCCAGGCAGCCATCAACACCCTTCACAGCAGCCGGACTCTGCCGGTGAGCCCCA